CTGTGCATAACTTGTAAATTACACTCTACCACAGGTATGCACGTACAGGAAAACCCGTAATACCTACAGGGTTCAGTACTCTCCGGGGTCTCGGGCATCCGCTGGGGGTCTTGGAATGCATACCCTCAGATACTGGGGGACCACACTGCATTTTACTGTAGACTCATTTTAAGACTAACCCTGAACCTAGAAAAGCCAGCAGAGGCTACGTGGTGCTGGTTTTACTGATACCCACACCAGCCAACTTCCCACTCCAGCCACTGAGGGGCTAACGGTGAAATTGTTCTTAGACTGTAGACCATCACAACAGTGAGATGAACTGGCCCTTCTCTCTACTTGGCTGTCACTACAGAAACCCTGGGCCTGCCTGCTTTCCCTCGGGAGGAGTACTAAAAGGGAAAAATCATCCAGCCTATGCAAGCCATAAAAGACTAATGTTTGTAAGCCCAGCCAGTGAATGCAAACTCAGTGAGGAACTCCATTAAAGAGCAGAAAAAAGTGTCATGCTACGGGGCTTTCTGCACTAGCACCCATGCTACCTGAGTGTCAACCCAAACCACAAACCACACACACACACACACACACACACACACACACACGCACACACACACACACACGCAGAGGTGAGATCTTTATCTGCACTTTTTCTTTCACTGGTTTTCAGTCTTGAAGGATCCCAAGTATAGTCTACTACCTCAGGTAATGGCACTCAGTGAAACGCGAATCTTTGTGGTGATTAAGGCCTTTGTTCAAACTTCCACGGTTTAAGCTTGTTAAGTCCCTCGGCTTGGGTACTACCAGGATGGAACCAATCTACCAGTTACAAATAAGGGAGCCTATTTCTCTCCTGTTTCCTGCATCTTTCGGGTGCTCCCCACAGCTGATCACAGCACCTACCAGGTAAGTGGGAACAGGAGCTGAAGCCCAAGTGACTCCAGGAAACAGGAAAAGAGCCCGGCCTTCCCTGCAGCCTCGGCTGTCACTTAGGAGTTTCTCCCTGACCTTGCAATTCCTTTGGAGTCGACCCAAGGGTCACTGATATCAGATCTTGAGTAGGGGTGTTCCCTTTTGAAATTGAGGGCCCCTCAGAGAGATGAAGGGAAACAACCAGGAGATCAAAGTTGGGGCCCAGGAGGAAATAAAATGTTCCCCTGAAGTGACTTTCAGTTCAATCACTCAGTATTAGATCCTGCTTACTACTCCCCTTCCACACTTTGTTCTTTCCCTTCACAGCACTTCACAATTCCAGTTCACAGAGCCTGTTTATCTGTCTCCTCCCAGGCTGTAAGCAGCAAGAACATAAGGACCTTGTCCACCTTGCTTACCACTGAGACACCAGCATGAATAACACTATCTGGAACAGAGCAAGCACTCAATAAAGGCTTGCTCCTTCATTCAGCAAATGCCTACTAATGCCCACAAATGCCAGGGACTGTGCTAAGTCTTGGGGAATCAGGAGTGAACAAGTCAGGAGAGGCCCCTAGCCCTGGAGGTTGACAGTCCATGGTGTAAACAAATAATAAAAAAGTAAACAGATACATAAACAAGTGTTTATCATTACCTGTTGGGAAGACAGTTCCCATTCCTTAGTAGGCAGTGGTATGCACATCACACATCGGTGAACAAAACCAAGGAAAACCCCTTCCCCTCAAGGCGCTTACACCGAGTTCATTCCCAATTCAGGTTCTGGGCTCCTTCTGTTCCCTCCATCCGGGACCCTGTCCCCCCAAATCTTCCAGGGCCAGCTCTTTCCATTCAGGCCTCATCTTGGCTCAAACGTCACCTCCTCAGAGGGGCCCTCCTTGACCATCCCGACTCGAGTCACCATCCCATCATCCCCGTCTCATTACCCTCACAGCAAACATTATGTTTACGTATTTACTTGCTTGATATTTGTCCCCGCCACCCCTATTAGTTCCAAAAGGTCTCCAAAAGGCCTGAGATTCGTTCTTCCCCCGGCTAGCCCAGTGCCTGGCACAGAGTCGGCGCTCCGAAGCATCTGATGGCACTCCCCTAAGTTGATGAAGACTACACAGAGCGTTCCTAACCAACCCGGCCAAAGCCGCCGCCGACCAGACGCCCGGCGACCCGGGGCTCGGGCCCCGCTCTGCGGAAGCTCTGGCCAGTAAGCCGGGCCCCAGCTTCCCTGCCTGTGAAATGGGGACAGCGGCGCGCCCCTGCCCAGGAGCCCGCGGAAGGGAGGCCCGAGAGAAAGCGAAAGGCGGGATGCCGCGCTGGGCGGGCAGGTGCGGCCCGCGTCTCCTGGGCGACACTCACGTCTCGGAACTGGACCAGGCCCTTCTCGCCCAGGGCGCTGAGGCACTCGTAGGCCGTGCCGGACTGCAGGAACAGCTGCGCCAGGCACATGGTCTCGCTCCGGAACAGGGACCCCATGGCGGGCCAGCCCGCGCCCCGGCGGGGCCGGACGGGCGGCGGCGGCTCCGGGCCGCTCGGGTCCGCGCGGTCAGCCGGGGCGGCCGGGGCCTCGGGCTCCTCCTGCGGCCTGGCCGCCGCCGCGCACCATGGGGCTCCGGGCTGCAGCGGCCGCCCCCGGTCCTGCCACCGCGGCCCCGCTCCAGCCGCTGCAGCCACACCGCGCGCGAGGCCCCGCCCCCCGCTACAGCCGGTTCCGGTTCCGCCCCCCCCACCTCCGGGTGTGCCCGCCCCCCTCCGCGCCGGCCGACCAATGGGCGCCCGGAGTTGCGGCCGGCATCGGCGGCGGCGCCGGCTGGGCCAACCCGCACAAACCCGGCGGCCGATGGCTGAGGCTCCGGCGGAAGACTGATGCTCGCTCAGCTCTTTAGACGTTTTGAAAATGAATTTTATTGAGTTTGTGCCATAAAGTTCACCAGTTTAGGGTATACAATTCTGTGATTTTTAGTAAAGTTACAGAGTGGTTGTGCAACCATCATCACGATCCACTTTTAGAATATTTCCGTCAACCCGAAAAGGATTCCACTTGCTCAGCGCCGTCAGTCCCCAGCTCCGGGCAACCTCGAACAACTTCGTCTCGTAGATCTGCCTATTCAGGACATTTCACACCGACGGAATTACACCAAATCGTGTGTTTGCGGCTGGCTCCTGCCGCGGGCCCTTCTCTCGGGTCCTGTCCCCCGTGCAGACCAGGCAGGGGGGTCGGGTGCCGGCACTGTCGCCCCGCTGGCCACGTTTGCCTCTGCAGATCCTCCACACGGCAGCTCCAGTCACCTCTGACACACGACGCAAATCTCACGCAGCCCACTTCAGATCTTCTGGTTTCTCCCACTGCTTTCCCAGTAAAATCCAAACTTCTTACCATGGCCAGCAGGACCCCACAGGCCCTGACCCCCTCCTTCCCCCAAGCCCTCATCTCCATCGCCTGCCCTGGACTCCCTTTGCTCCAGCCGCACCTGCCTTCTTTATCTTCCCAGGTCGGGGTGCTTGAACTTGGCGATTCCTCCCTCTGCCCAGAACACCCCTCTCCTAGACCTTCTCAAAGCTGGCTCCTTGGGGTCTCAGCTCAAATGTCCCTGCCTCTGAGGCCGTCTCAGGCCCCTAGCTAAGGTAATCTCCCACCCCACCCCCGTTTTATTTCCTTCATCACGCCTACCACTGTCTGAAATTATCTTGTCTGTATTTATTGCCAATTTTCCCCCACTAGAATGTAAGCGCCGCTAGACAAAGGACATTGACTTGGTATCTCCAGGGCCCAGCATGTAATAGCCACTCGATAAATAGTTCTCAAATGCATACATAAATGTATAAACTTAGAAAAGTCAAAACCATATAGCAGGTCCCTCAGATCCCATTCCTCTGCCAAAGTAAGCTTTTTCCCTCTTAACTACAAAAGTCATCCTAACAAAGCCCACAAAATCAGGCTCAATTTCCTGTCATTTGAAAATTTTAAATTAATTTTCCAGAGCTAGTTATATTAACTGCCCTAGAAAGACTTTCTGAATTACTACAATTAATTGATCAATGGGTATTTCCTTTTCTTTGACAAAGGACAATTGTTTTACTCCTATAGGATGTAATCACTTGGACCACAGAGATCCAAATCAAAGAAAAAGAGAAACAGAAGGGGAGGAATCCAGTATTTCTCAATGCAGTACATATAGAGGTAACTGAGGGAGAAACTTCTTTATGTCGTTAGTTACATGTTTAATATGAATCAGTAAAAAATGGAACTGGGCTTACAGATTTGCATTGGAAAATGCAACAACACATTGGATGTGTCCGGGAAGTCAGGAGGCCCCAGGAATTCCATCAGAGTGTGAAAGGGAAGATGGTCACTTTTCAAAATTAGGTTTACTGACTGTGTCCAAATCCATCTGAAACATGACTAAATATGTCTGGGCCACAGAGAAAATGCAGAGATTTGCCATGTGGCCAAGATTGGGCTATGGTTGAAGACATCCATTCCCCCCCAACCCCCCGCATCATGCTGTGTGTCCCCTCGTAAGGAGCCACAGGAGGAAAATCTCTCAAGCCTCAACTAGGAAAAACTATCCTTCACCAAAAATCGGCTTATTTTAAATCCATGGGTCTATGATTCCTGTACCTAATCATACTTGTGCCGACCTCCCCTCCTGGTTTTGTTTTACTCTCCTCCCAATATACTTGCCCTCCCTCAGCCTCCACATCTTCCCTCATCAATTTATTTTGTGTATATATACAAAATAATACATAAACTTTATAGTATACACATTTTTAAGGCTTTAAGAATTACTAATTCTTTCTTTGGAATAGAGGAAATTAACCAAACAATTCATCGGAAATACATACAAATTTGAAGAAAATACTAACTTTCTAAGATAAGAGTAACATACGTGGACGAAAACTCCTGTGACTTTAGTAACTCGTGATACACAAAAGCTTCTAGTAACATTTATTTACACAGTTGACCCTCTTGTGCATTTTGCTCAGTCTCATCCAACGATGAGAATGTCTATTCTGAATTGCTCTGCACATCCGGATAGTTACATATGTGAATTAAATTCACAGTGCACTTAATTAAAAAATTTTTACAAAAATAAAGCACTGCATTTATTACAATTTTACAGACAGGCACACAGGAATACGACAAGTCACTGAAGCAAAAGTCTGTGGTCTGTGAGAAGTCAGGTGGTAGATGAATTTCAAGCTTTGCATGTTCTGGTCCAGGGGTTACTGAGGAATGCAGCTAATACCAAGAAGGATACCAACAGTAAGCTCTTGGCCACGCACTGAGAATAAGCCTCACCTGCAAGAAAATGAACCAAATGAAGCACAATTCTTATTTCTTAACTATTTCGGCAATTAGGTAGAAATAAACCAAAATAGTAATAGTGATCACTCCTAAGTGGCAACCTTATTAGTAAATCATTTAAAACTCTTTCTATGTGTTTTAAGTTTTCTGTGACACATATTTTTAAAAAATATTTGTCAGATATTGTGTATAAATGGCAAAACATAATGATAACCCTTCCAGAAATCTGCTTTACCCTACCTTGATAATACCGGGTCAATGGATACAGAAGTTGCGGCCAACACACCTCATTTCTGTTACAGTCATACTCTGTAAAATTGATCTGGAATCTAGGAAACATTTTAGAAGATTACAATAGGCACAGCAAAGCACGCTCTTGATGAAATGTGTCAAACTTGATTAAAGAAATAAACTTCTTCTTTTCAAGCAACTGTTTTTCTGCTTCCTAATAATGGTAACTAGGTTGTCAACTGGATTACCTTGTCAGTGGACGGGGTAACCGTGCAGGTATCTTAATAAACTGGACGGATGCACTGACAGGGAAAAGGTCGGCCTTATCCTCACAAGTAAGCCCACACTGGAATTGCCAGTTCACCATAGAGAACCTGGGAGGAAAAGATTATGCAGGTAACACATCCACCATTCGTTTCTAGTCTGTTAAGAGCCTGAGGGAACCAACAGCAACAATATAAACTGGGATTCTCTTAAAGAAGCTTCAAATTCTACTAATGCTTTTTCCCCCTTTGGACATATGCACAAGGAGGGAGAGTAGCATGGCGAACCTCACAGGCCGGTCACCCTCCTACAAAAATGAACAATATAACAAGAAGAACAGCAACAGCTAGCCATCTTGGAGGGTTTTCCAGGTGCTGGGCAGAGTACAAAGGCGCTCTATACGCATCATGTACGCACACACCACATCACTCTCAGAAGAGGGCTACCAGCTGTTTGGTGGTTAACATCTGTTGTTTCTGCCTATCCAGCACCCCATCCCCTTTTTCTGGCAACTGCACCCCAGCCTCCCCTTGGGGAAACGCCTCCCCACAGTATTCCCTACGCAGTATGCATGGATTATTATATTCCCCCCCGGATTTCATCTTTGTACCCCGAGAGTCCGTGCAGAATCCCTTACACACAGCTTTATAAATATCTGTGAGAACAAGTTACCATTATACACATAGTTGATAACATATTTCATTTATACACATAATCATGTTGCTAATAACTGCAATTCATAATCAGATTGCACATTAGCATTTCCCTATTCTTTGGAGCACCAGCAACTTTACTGACTCTCTCTAAACTACACTTACCCAAGATGCAATCATACCTCGTCTCTATGCCAACTATCTCCTGCTGAGTAATCCCTTCCACTGCACCAGCATCTGAGATGAGGATGCGTATATGCAGTCGGGCAGGAATGTCCACGCAGATGCCATTCACACTGACAGGAGGGTCTGCACCTGTGTCAGGGGCATCTGCACCTATAGAAATACCAAGTTTGGAAAAAATAATAACAATTTTCCTACAGTGCCATGATACAGGGGAAAAACTGGGAACTGTTATGAGACAGGAATCACATGAAGGCATCTCTCGTCTCTAACAGGCCTTCGGTATCATCACCCCGAGCCTGTGCTAGCCCTTGTGTTCAAAAATGTCTCCTTGTCTGTTCAGTCAGTCACCAGAACTTTAAAATCCCAGACCCACATAATAAAACCAGACATCCTGATTCAGTTCCCAAGCCCCAAGCTCCCCCAGAGTTTTAGCAGAAATACCATCCAACTGCAGTAAAATACCATGAGACTGAGTCCATGCTCTTGCTGTTCTAGTACAAGCCGTCTAAGACATTCACAATCCATGCGAACAACTGTAGTTAGGATGGATTAAACAGTGAAGAAGCAATAGGGTAACACAATGGAAGAGAATCAACTGACTAAGAAATGAATAACTACAGGAGGCGGGTGGCAAGTTGTGAGGGGACACTGGAGGAACTTGAAAGTTGGTGACAGTTTATGACTTCCAACTTCCTCCTCCTCGATGCACACGTTCGACATCTCTTCTGTTTATCAACCAGGATCAGGGTTGATTTTGGCTTAGAGACAACATAGAAGCCAAGTGCTTTCACCTCCAAGGCAGCAAAATGTCATCACCTCAGACTTCTTATGTAACCACCTTGGGTTCTCCGTCTTGAAACCTCCCATTCTTTCTACTTCTCAGGTACTTTACTGACTCCTTCCCTCCATCCGTCGGGCATGCCACAGCCCATCCAGCTGGCCTTGTGGCAAAGCCCAGGGGTTGACAAGCCCCAACCTCTGGTTTCTGTCTCCAAATGAGGATCTAACTCTGGGCCTAGTGACTTGAGCGCAGGGCACAAGAGGATCGGTGAATCACAGCCTGAGAGCCCCATGGCCCCCAGGACCCCTCCCAAAGTCAGAGAGTGATATGGGGTGCTTCCGGCCCACAGACGTATTACATGATCCCTCACCGCCCAAAGAGGGCAGGGGACCTGGGTGTCGTAATGATCCAAACCAAATCACAAGGGGTGAGGAGAGCACAGGCACGTGTCTGGATGGTCCTCTGTGTGAATTCCAGGCTGCTGAGCGGAAGTGACCAGAGGTGGTACGGAAAGCAGGATCCAAAAAACTGCTTACCACCAGCCAGGCAGAAGGGAGGGGCACAGCAGGATCCTCAGTGACAGGAGGGGACTTAGGACAGCAGATGCTGCCAAGCCAATTCTCTCTTTCTGGCCCCAAAAGACAATGCCATTAATCAGAGCACTAGCAGAAGCTCTCCTGTTGGCACATTTCCACACTCAAGACTCCCCTTACTTGCCAGCCGGGGAGCCAGCAAAGAGGCTGGAAGCCTGGGTCTGGGTTCCAGCTCCGCCACAACCAACTGAGCCCTTGAGCTTCTGCCCTGACGAGCTGAGTGAGCGGCAGCTCAGTGGTGGCCAGACGGACGTTTTAGATCGGAAGGTGACCCCAGGCCTGCTGTGGCAAGGAAGTGTGGCTCATGGCTACTATCCGGGCCACGCGCACCCTACCTCCTCGCGCTCCATCCCCTGCCAGCCCGACGCTGCAAATGCCTCCGCCCAAAGGCCCAGACCTCCAGCCTTTCTACCTGGCCTGGGTGGGGCCTGCTACCCTTATCTGCTACCCCTGCACTTCTTTCTGCTATAACCGCTGCCCTGAGAGACAATTCACACACCACACAATTCACCCAGTTAAAGTGTACAATTCAGTGGTTTTTAGTATATTCAGAGCTACGCAGCCATCACCAAATTCCATTTTTACTGCACCAGAAAGAAACCCTGTATCCATCAGCGGTCACTCCTCACTTGCTCCCACCTGCGCCAGCCCCTGGCAACCACCTGTCTGCTCTCTGTGGTGACAGATCTGCCCGATCTGGGCCTTTTGTACACATGGCACCGTACAGTTCAGGGTCATGTCTGTCTGGCTTCTTTCACTCAGCATCATCTTTTCAATCACCTTATTTTAAATTAACAACATTGCTTTTATAAATTACAAAGTCCGGTCTCGATTGCCTATATTCCTGGCAAACGAAAACAGCAAAGCAAACTGAAATGCACTGAAAATCTTCAGTCTTCATTTAGACCTCCTTTTACAAAGGCTGTTAGCTCATAAAACAAGTGGGCAATCTGAACTTCATGTGGATTTCCTCTTAAAAAAAAAAAAAGAAGCACAAAAAACCCACAAAGGCATCATGAAGAAGAGGTAAAGGATGTGAAGAGCCTGCTGCCCGGAGAGCTAACCTCTAAACAAACATCAGTTGAGCCACAGCAAAGGTGGAAGACCCATCCCGTGGGCTCCCACGCACGGCCAGTGCCGTGCACTCCTAGCAGCAAGTTACATGCGCACACGTCCGCAGCTGTGACTTACGGATTATTTCGAGCCAGTCGTCACTAGGATGGTTGTAATCAGAGTTGCCTCTCATCGCAACATGAGTTGCTTGTATTAATGAGTCAAGTCGCTTGACAGCATTCTCCCTGCAAGAGAGTAAGACATTTCTCAGCACATGGCCAGTGGCTCTCATCCTGAAGTCCTTTCCAGGTTGTGCTTGCAGGGAGCCTAACTAAAATCTGCCAGAGGGAGTGGCATTAAAAGCTGGCTGGGCATCTGCATTCTCTTCCATGGCCTGTCCAGGATGGACCTGAGCTGCCAGGGGAAGACATACAGAAGCAATCGTTTACTTTGGATTTTAAATGTTAGTAATTTATGTTGGTATCATGTAGTTTACAGGCTCCACTGAGTGTCATAAAACTTGGGAGGTGCACAGATCACATTCCAAGTTACCAGGATAAATTTACAGGCCAGAGGGATCCGAGAGCAAAAGGAACCTAAATATTTTAGCTAGAATTTTGAGCCAGAAGATTAAGTGAAGATTAAAAATTAGAACTTAGCGGGCTTCTGGGTGGCTCAGTCGGTTGAGCATCTGACTCTTGATTTTGGCTCAGGTCGTGATCTCAGGGCTGTGAGATCGATCCCTGCGCTGTGCCCCACACTAGGCGTGCAGCCTGCATGGGATTCTCTCTCTCCTTCTCCCTCTCTTAAAAAAAAACAACCCTGAAACTTAGCATCTTAGCATCCCTCCTTTCTGGTGATGTCATTGGCAGGTACAAATCTTATAAACTTCAGGGGAGAGACTCTGCAGATTCCAGCCTTATTCCCCATGACCAAGAGTTCTGCTAGTAACTTACACCTACAGTCTACTTCCCTGCTTAGTGCCTCCCCAACTTTTCTCAGCTCCCCAAAGAATCATGCTACCCAGGATGTGTTATAGATGAAATGGGTGTAAGAACAGATGCAATTAAAAACCACAACAAGATACCACTTCACACCTACTGGGACGGCAACTATCAAAACAACAGAAACCAACCAGTGTTGGGAGGATGTGGACAAATTGGAACTGTCTCACATTCCTGGTAGGAATATAAAATGGTGCAGCCACTGAAAATGATGTGGTCGTTCCTCAAAAAAGTAAACATCTAATTACTATATAACCCAGCAATTCCACTCCTGGGCATATGCCCAAAATCACTGAAAGCAGGGACTCAAACCAAAACTGGCACATGAACGTTCATGGCAGCGTTGTTCAACAGCCCAAGCTGGAAACAACTCAAATGTCCGTTAATGGATGAACAGATAAACAAGATGTGGTAGAGCCGTACAGTGGAACAGGAGTCGGCCACACAAGGGAGCAAAGCACTGACACCTGCTACAGTATGCATAACCCTCGAAAACATTAAGCTGAGTGGAAGAAGCCAGACACAAAAAGTCACCTATGGTAGGGTTCCATTTATATGAAATGTCCAGAATAGGTCAATCCCTAGAGACAGAACACAGATCGGTGGTTGCCAGGGGCTGGGGGAGGGGGGGAATGGGGAGGGATAGTTAATGGGTACAGGTTTTCTTCTGCAGAGATGAAAATGTTTTGGAACTAAATAGGGGTAGTGGTTGTATAACATCATGAATGCACTAAATGTCACCGAACTATTTACTTTAAAATGATTAATTATCTTACATGAATTTCACCTCAATTTAAAAAAAAAAGAATGTATATGCATATCCATAAACACACCTTCCAAATGCCACCCAGACAATTAAGTGCAAAGTTCCTTATACACCATGTAACAAGGCTTATGTATTCTTTTTTTTTAAGATTGTATTTATTTATTTGAGAGAGAGCAAGAGCACAAGCAGGGGGAGCAGCAGAGGGAGAAGCAGACTCCCCACTGAGCAGGGAGCCCAACACAGGACTCGATTCTAGGACCCTGAGATCATGACCTGGGCCAAAGCAGATGCTTAACCGACTGAGCCACCCAGGAGCCCCAAGGCTTATGTATTCTTTCAGTGTTATTCACACCAATTATATCTGCCTCCTGTCCTTTTTATGCTTCTAGGAGTATTGGGTTCCAACGATTAACAGACTTTAGCAGAGTAACTGCATAAATATGGATGAAAGGGCTCTAGTCCCAAGAAAGAACTCTATTTTCCCTTCTATCAATATCTAATTCTTTTTTTTTTTTTTTTTTTAAGTAGGCTCCACACCCAGTATAGAGCCCAACACTGGGCTCAAACTCACAACCCTGAGATCAAGACCTGAGCTGAGATCATTAGTCGGACGCTTAACCAACTGAGCCAGCCAGGCGCCCCTGAATCAATTCTAAAGAAACTGTAATTTTTGTCCACTACCACTTTACAGAAGTGTGTTATGCAGACTGCAATTTCTCACATTCATGTTGTCTTTAGTTTTCATGGGGTGAATTCATTTTAAGCAAACCACTCAAAACACAGGCAGATTCGCCAATGATACGCTCACCTGAGCTGAGTACAGTTTTCATGGATCCCAACTTCTAAAAGACATCCAGAGAGTGCATTTTCTCCAAATAAAATGGGTTTGAAAGTTGCCGATGCACACAAACCCCTTCCAGCTAGAAAATGAAAAGATTATCCTCTTACCTTTTTTGCTAAATGAAAGTAAAGATTTACTTCAAAGTTTTTCTTGGAAAACAGACAGAAAACAATCATCAGTAGAAATAAAGTTTCCAATTTTCTCAAGAACTGAGGTCACTGTTACTCTAATCCTTTCAAAGCTGAACAGAGGCGCCTTTCTATATCAGAATACCTGGCCCGGGATCAATGGTTTATTCTGAACATGGAAGTTAATGCCTTCTGGCAGATGCAGGCACTCACCACCAAGGCAAAGATTTTCCATTGTTTGGAACAAAGTTATGGTCGAATCTCCAATTAGCCCACCATCCTGGGCTACAAGCAACGATGACAAGAGACTGTCCAGCCAGTCCCGTATTTAAAGATTTTGTTTATTGGGGAGAAAGAGAGAGCACACCAGCGTGAGCAGGAGCAGGGGCAGAGGGAGAGAGAAATCTCCAGCAGACTCCCCCCCAATCACGGAGCTGGACTCAGGGCTCCGGTTCATGACCCTGAGATATGACCTTGAGATCATAGCTGAAATCTAGAGTTGGCACTTGACCGAGCCACCCAGGTGCCCCAGCCAACCCCATGTTTAAATCTCTCTTACAAATAACCAGCACTTCAGGAGCAAGTAATGTTAAATTTAAAACCAAACCAAAGAAAATTGTGGAAGCATGATCTCCTCCACCCTGCCCCCACCCCAGCTAAATAAACCAACCAGAATTCAAAGTGATTAACTACTTGATTAGATTCAAAATAAGGCAGTATTTCCAATTCTAGTTTACCAAAGGGCGAATCATATTACCAAACCAGATTACCCGATTGCCAAAGGTGTAGAGTTGCCTCATTCGTCTTGTCCGCATTTAGAGCTCGGACAGGCCTGCCAAGTTGGTAACCTAGACAAACACGATAATGAGAAGTAGCTAAAGTTAACCTGACATAGCAACCCCTCCTCATCAAATAGTATAAAAGAAGACTATGCAAAGAAAGGAAACACACAGGCAAAGCTTTGTCAGAATACACTTGAGACAAACCATCTTCTTTCCTCTTCTTTTGCTTTTTTTTTTTTAACAAAGATCTTTGTGTGACTTTTTAAAATAAATTTTGAAATTAAAATCTGAAAAGGCATGAGCACGCAAGAGTCAGTCCAGGGCCCTCACACCGGGGAATCAAATGCCAAGCAGGCCAGTTACTAAGTACTGCTGAGTGATCACTACTGCTGGTCCCAGGCGCTTTGAAAGGAGACTTACACCAAAGTAACCTTTCGATGGAACACTCTGGTAAATCAGTCCCACCCCGGGACGATTCAGGTCCTATTCCCGTTCTCTCCTATTGGCCTGCGCCTTACTGCTTCCACTTTTTTACTATGAAAATGTTCACATGTACACAAGGGTTGAAAGGAATACCACCCAAAATCAACAACCATGAATTTCCAGCCAGATTGGTCCTCTCTGTATTACATAAGCATATACATACATATTTATTTTGGGCGAGACCTTTTGAAAATAAGTTGTAGACTTGACACTTCACCTCTAAAAGCTCTAACATACAACTCCTGAAATGAAGGATATCCTTCTACATAACCATGATACCAATATTTCTCCTGAGAAAATGAATAATTCCTAATAATCAAAGTATATCCAGTTCATACCTCTATCTCCACATGTCCCCAAAAAACATGTTTTAGAGCCACTTTTACAAACCGAGATGCAATCAGGGTTCACGCCCAGTGCTTGTGTTTCCCACGTTACTTCTCAGCATTCCTGAACCAGCCGGAATTGAACCAGGGTTCATCCCTGCCCACCCCCACCTCCCATTCCTTGCTGCCTCCCTGGCCCCCACCCCAGGTTATTCCTGTTCCCAGCCCGCACTATCTGCTTTCCAAGGTACAATCTCCTCCACACAGCCCAGAATAGAAACTTGCCGAGGGCAGAACTGTGACTCACTCTGCTTTTCTTCCAGCACTGAGATCAGAACCTGCACAAACTAGAGACTTCACACAGGTCCTTAATGGTGGGAAGTGTAGGTGAACGGTCAACATTCCACTTCTCTGATGTTCTAGAATGCCCGTCCGTGAGTCTAGCACACATTTATTAATTATCTTGTATTGTTCTCTGTTGTTTCTATGACCTGGTGCCGTCTTTCCAAGTAAGAGAATTAATTCCTTGAGAATCGGGCCCATGTAGTGTACTCCTCCTAAAACCCTTCCTGCCTTGGAAAGTGCTAGAGAATGGATGGCCGTATATACACAAACTATCTCACGGACTGACTGGTTCTGGCTCATAATCAATTTATTCTTTTTTGACAAGAGCGTCAACATTTTTCACATATTCTGATGGTGTTTCTCAGAAATCCTGTGAAATTAAATAATGAAATGAAAACCCTTAAATTCCAGGAGCCTGCTTTGAAATCCAACCATAAAATCCAAAATTCCACATTAACAAGTACACTAAAATTTCATTTAAAAGAAAAATGTATATATAGGTAAAATGGAACATGCATTATTAAATCAACATACACAAATATTGAAAATCACGCAAACTAAAAAGTTATTTTAACTTTAAAAAGTTGTTCGTTCATGATTACTTACTGCCTAGTTAAGAGTAGTAAAAGGAAGGGACAAGTTTTTAAAAAACAATGATAGTTTATCCAACATATATTTACTGGACACCTACTATGGTCCGAGTCAGTGTTGCCCAACAGAAATATAATGCAAACCACGTATGTGATTTTAAAATATGACACATTTTTAGAATTTTTTAGACATTCAAAATTTTTTTTTCTGGTAGCCCCATTAAAAAAAGAGAGAAAAAGTAGATGAAGTTAATTTGAAAAATATATTTTATTCAACTCAATATATCCAAATATTACCATTTCCACACATGCCATTGGCCACATTGCACGGCTAGCAGCTGGCATGTTGGACGTGCAGTCCTCCCTACTGTTCCAGGTGCTGAGGAGGCAATGGTGAATTAAAGAAGCAAACAAATACACAACAAATCAGGTGATGCTATATTTGTACGTAATCACAAAATGCACAACATGACCGGAAGTTCACAGTCCCTGTGAAGTCTCTCCACAGAACCCCAGGTTAGGAACCCATCATCTATAGCTTCTTAGTTCTATAAAAGCTAATTTGGGGTGCCTGGGTGGCTCAGTTGGTTAAGCGACTGCCTTCGGCTCAGGTCACGATCCTGGAGTCCCAGAATCGAGTCCCACATCAGGCTCCCTGCTCAGCAGCGAGGCTGCTTCTCCCTCTGACCCTCCCCCGTCTCATGTGCTCTCTCTCTCTCTCTCATTCTCTCTCTCAAATAAATAAATAAAATCTCTAAAAAAAAAAAAACTAATTTTGCCAACATTATTCGGCATTATCTTTTTTTCAAAAGACTAGTAGCTAAAGAGAAAGAATGTTTTGCGTTTACAACTACACTTACAACATGTCTGGTAAAAAAAAAAAAAGTTGTTATCAGAAAAAGAATACAGTGTCACAAAAGAGAAAGAGAAAGGTTAGAGTCACAAACTAAAATTGGAGTGAGTTACAATCACTGTAGCGCAAGAGTATTGAATTAAAATATGTTTGTAGGATCAGCAATTGACATACACTGTCTTACCTGGATTCCCAGAAAATTCCTTTTCATCACCACTATTATAGCTTAAAAATTTTACTGTAAATCTCTGTGTCATGCTCCCTAGAAATAAAACAAAATAAAAATATAATGTGCACCATTTCACTAGGAAAAGAAATTATCCCCCATAGTGTTATTTTCTTTACCTTATAATTACATCTTGACATGCAAAAGAAAAAAAATGTTTTCTATTAAATCACAAATACAAATAAGAAACAAGTCTGACTTAGTTTTACGTGTAATAATTATGAGAATCGTAAAGAAAGAAAAAAAATGTTTTAAGCTGAAAACATTCTCACTGCCCTCAACAAAGTTACCTTTCTGGTGGGCATTAATTTTTGCTCTAATAATTGTGACATTTATTTCGCTGATTGTATTATTATTCCATCTGAAAATATAATGTTCTTCCACATTTACGTCTCTGGAGGCTGATTCATTGCTTAAAAGTGTTTCTGCAAATAAAAAATACTTTCATAAATTAACAACCCTCCTTGGATTCAAGTCTATTATTGGCCCCACCAAGTCAGCACTGGCCCCCTCCTCTAGGGCATCACAATGTCCTGGGTGAAGTCTGCCCTTTCCTTCCATTTGCATACCCCCAGAATGCGGCTCATAGCTCAATACACAGCACGGGCTCGGTCAAATGTTTGTCAAAGATGACGGACTACAGAATGTCAGCCCCATAGCCCCATAGGAGCAGAGGCCTGCTGTCTAGCTCACTACTATGTTGTAGGTACTTTGCTAAGATTTGATGAATGAATACATTTGAGAATTTCAACACACTGTAAGGAAACACAAATATCTTTCATGCACAACAAAGTCCTGGTACTACTAGCCAAACTCTGAATAACTTGTTTGGCTGCATCAAAACTGCAAAGTTTAGTTATTTAAAAAAAGAAGAAGAAGAAGGAGGAGGAGAAAAGAGAGCAAGAAGCCTCCATGCTGGCTCCCTGAACAACATTTCAGAAAAGGTCCACAGGCCCTGAAAACTAGCAGGGACCCTGGAGCCCACAGAACTCAGGGCTGTGAGGATTGACTCCAGGGCACAGATACCACTCTGAAGCAAGGCAAGACGGAAAAAGGAACAAACCAAATGTGGAGCAGACAAAAAGTGTTGTGAACCTCCTTAAATTCTTCATAAAAATCTATTTTCCTCTAGGACTACATATTATTTATAAGAAATGACCTACGTATTTCTGTAGAGGTGATATGAAAGCGTTAATTCAAATACCTGTCCTGGTGATGAATTTGTCTGGGTCGGCTGCCTCCTCATAGGTTACTTTTGGTGTAACAATGCCTGAAAAGATACAGAAGTTGGCCTCCCGAGGACGACACAGCCCAACACGATCGTGTTTACTTATTCAAGGGAAAGCTTATCAGGCAACTATGGTAACTGCGCCCAGCCTGTGTGCCAGCTACCAACCTCTCTCCCACTCCCCAAACGCCAGCCATGGGAATCCCACTGTCCTTGGCATCTGGTAATGGCTGAGGAGGAGATTCCAGTCAGTGACAGAGATCCGGAGAGCTACTCTCCCATAGGAACAAACATGCGGTCCACTGCCAGTGGGAACGGAAGATGGTGCGCTCGCTCTAGAAGCAGTTTGGTGCTCCCTCAGAACCACGCGACTTGGCAACCCCACTGCTGGGTGGACAGCAAAGAGAGATGCAAACGTGTGCCCACACAGACACTTGCACACCAGCGTTCACAGCAGCACGATCACAGCTGCCAAACGCGGGAACAACCCAAATGCCCATCAAAGGATGAATGGATGACATATGTGGCACAATTATTCATAGGATGGACTAGGACCCAGCCACAAAAAGGAGCGGAGTTCTGGTCCGTGCCACGGCGTGGATGAACTTTGCAAACATGATGCTAAGTGAAAGAAGCCAGACACAAAGACCACATATTATAGGATTCCTCTTATATGGAAAGCCCAGAACAAAGCAAATCCATAGAGACAGAAAGGGGGTGAGCGGTCAGGGTATAGGGGTCAGGATATAGGGTCTCCTTTAGGGGAAGGAAAATGTTCTGGAACTAAACAGAGGGGGTAGTTACACAGGTAGTTACTGTGAAGGTACTAAATGTCACTGAACTGTCCACCTTAACATAGTTAATTTTATGTTATGTGAATTTTACCTCCATTTGTAAAGAACTAACATGCAACATGCTGCCCTATGGAACTGGACTTTTTCTGAAGAAAACATTTTCCTCAATTGGCAGTTCAAATATTTTAAGTTGATCCAGTAGAAGTGATTTATATCCTCATGAGATCACAGTTTATGTAGACATTCAGGTCTGTATTCCTTTTTTTTTTTTTTTAAGATTTCTTTATTCATTTGAGAGAGAGAGAGCACACATGGGGAGGGGCAAAGGGAGAGAGAGAGGCTGAGATGGCAGACTCCCCACTGAGTGCAGAGCCCAACAACAACACAGGGCTCCATCCCACGACCCTGAGATCATGACCTGAGCCGAAATCAAGAGTCAGTTGCTTCACCGAATGAGCCACCCAGGAGCCCCACGTTCTCTTCTCAAACCAACGTACCATACCTCCTACTGCACCATTCTTGATCTTCGCATTGATAATACCATCTTGCTCTCGGTACACTTCCAAATTAGTAGTGCAGCGAACATCAAAATTCTGAAGGAATGCCACTGGCGCGTTCTGCATGCACTGCCCAGCCAGGGACACCTGAGGGTAAGGGGAAATCCCAACAGGGCTATGACCTCTCTTCAAGTCAGAAAATATAGGTCAGCGTCCCATACAGACTTGCTTTCCGCAGCCTGCTCCTCCTGCTGGGTTAGTTTCAAGAACGAGTTCACTGACTAGATGACCCATAAATAGACTATGTAGTTCATTTGCTAATCAAAGTCTGGAAGCCGCTGGTTGAGGAGAAGTATTTAACAAAAACACAGAAAACTCCCTGCTCCATTTACTTTGCAGAAACATGATTACATTCAACTTAATTTTCTCTCCCTCAGGACAACCAGATTTTTGTTAAAACCATAAAAATGGAGTCCTAGAACAGCGAAGAGAGATGGTTTAGACTCCCATGTTTTCTTCCCACAGATGTATGATTTTGGACTTAAAAAAAAATGAAGATCACATAAAACTCCACAGCCTTGAGATAATTTTCAAAGTTCTGGAATATTATATTAAACTATATACTTATAGCTTACTAGAAATCAGCTGTTAAACTAACAGAAGTGCAGAATCGTAGTTATTTCTATGGAAATTGATAGAATGTCTTTTGGTTGTTATGTTCACTCTGAGATTTAGCAAAATCAGTGGCTAATTTAAGAGAGGCTGTTTAAAATAAAATCCACAGACCATAAAGAGTTGAGTGCCTGGAAATTCCACAGGAGAAAAATAAGGAACTTAGGATGAGACTTTTTAAGTGCAGAAATTCAATTAACAACAGGATGGGAAAAAAATGTCAAAGGCCCCTAGCACCTTAAAATTGAAATTCTTACCTGCGGAATGGTAAAATATGCCTTGTCTACAGTCATGATCGGATCTCCTTGCTTATAACCGAAGTCTGAAAAGTCTCTTAGATCAGTATGCAGATTCACCTCAAAGGAAGAGTGCTGCCGAGGGGAACTGTAAATCAATGAGAAGGATTACCACTAATACTCGCAGCTATTATCTGCTAAAAACAATTCTTTTTTTTTTTTAAGATTTTATTTTATTTATTTGACAGAGAGATAGAGAGAGAGCACAAGTAAGCAGAGAGGCAGGCAGAGAGGGAGAAGCAGGCTCTCCGCCGAGCAGGGAGCCCAACGCGGGGCTCGATCCCAGGACCCCAGGATCATGACCTGAGCCGAAGGCAGCTGCTTAACCGACTGAGCCACCCAGGAGCCCCTAAAAACAATTCTTCTTTTAATTTTTGTTTTACCTTTTTAATTACAAAAATAATACGTGGACTAAAAGCCACAGAGGTATACACTTGAAAGTGGTTAGAGGTTAATTTTATGTTACATGAATTCTACTTCAATAAGAAGAAGAAAGTTGTAAAATTTCAACATCAGGGGAAGGTACAAGAAAGAAAATCAAGACCCCAGGAGCCCAGCACTCCTTCCCCAAACCCAGATGATCACTATTAACTGCAGTATCAACAATTTCTCTTCAGTGAGGCCCAATTCTTTCAAATATTTAACGCAAAATAAACTTGCTAACGGAAATCTAGAACTGAATCTCGAATGGAGGCGGTCAGGCCTGGGCCCGCGAGAGGCCGCAGGCACCCGTGGGCCACGTCGGGACACGTACACGGAGCCGTGGTAGAAGTAGCCCAGGAAGGGCGAGTTGGCCGGCGAGGACTGCACACACAGGAACGGGAACCAGCCAGGGGCCCCAGGGGTCTCCTGCACAGAGCACAGGTGGTCAAACTCCGGATTGACGTCGCCTCCAAAAACACCAGTAAAACAGGCCTCTCTGAACAGCTCTGTTAGATTGGACGAGCATTCCTTGAAAGGAAACACAGAGAAGCAGTGAGCAGACAGAAGCTTCTGTGGTGCCCCTCAGCCCTCAGGCGAGCAGGACGCCGCTGAAGAAGCGTGGAACGTAGTCTCTGTCCAGGCTACTAGCGCTTTGTGCTCACAGGAAGTAAAATCCTGCTAGAATTTCTCTCAATTCCGTAATGAGCCTCCAGGTCAGGAACTTCAAACCTTCCAGGGAACTACATCCTTACTCAAGACATAAGATGTGCCCACAAAAAAAGAAAAAAAGAAAGAAAGAAAACAATATGAAGAGAAGATAATATGGAATAGCTCCAATTGGGGAATAAAACAGAGTAAATTTCTCTCTTTTTAATTGCCATCACCATCCAAATCCCTAGCCCAGAGAAACCTAAAGACATTTCGAGTCAGGGCAAACAGTCCGAACTCTGTAAGAATCCTTAAGGTCCGTATAAGAACACGACCCAATTAATGTCATCAAGAAGTGACTTGATTCCTGTATTCAGTTATTCATCCATATTCTTCCCTGTTTCACATAGCATTGAGAGCTAAAATATGCCTTGAATCCCTTGTTTACTGACAGTGGAAAAATAAATTTTAAACAAGAACAATTCAAATTAAACAACTGATCATGTCTAACGTGGTAAGTAGCAGCTATCCGAAGACATCACTGATCCAGAAGACTAAGCAAGGCGAGTGGTTGGTGCTCTGTACATCGATACCAAATATGACAAACACAAAAGAAGTTAGAAACCGGGCATAGGACTGCAGTCTGGAAGACAGAGGAAGAGAATACCATCTTGACATTTCTACTGATACGGATTTACGATGTGCTGTATTTTTAAATTAAATATAATTGTTATTATAAGTACAATTGCTAGTATGAGAATTACAATATAAATGAAGGCCCTAAACTTTCCTTTCTGCTTTTCCCTTTTCTGTTTTATAAAACCAACCACGATATAATTGCGCTCAACCGCAAATGGGAGTGACTGGGGTAACAGTAAATGTGCCTCTTTCGCATCTCTCATTCCTCTTAAATTGCAAAGAAGGATTAGAAATACGTATTTGACCCGGATCAGGCAACGGTTTCCTAGATATGACACCAAAAGCACAGGCAACAAAAGAAAAAACTGATGAATTGGACTTCATCAAATTACGAAACTTTTGGGCTTCAAATGACATCTACAAGAAAGTGGACGACCTACACAATGGGGGACATTTGTTGCAAATCACATACCTGATTTGGGACTAGTATCCAGAAGGTATAATGAACTCTTATAATTTAACAACAAAAAGAGAACCCAATTAAAAAATGGGCAAAGGGTCTAAATAGATATTTCTTGGGGTGCCTGGGTGGCTCAGATGGTTAAGTGTCTGCCTGCGGCTCAGGTCATAATCCCAGGGTCCTGGGATCGAGCCCCACATCAGGCCCGCTGCTCAGCGGGGAGTCTGCTTCTGCCTCTCCCTCTGCCTCTCCCCCTGCTTGTGTTCTGTCTCTCCCAAATGAATAAATAAAATCTTTTAAAAAATAAAAACTAAATAGACATTTCTTCAAAGATATACAAATGGCCAGTAAGCACATTAAAAGATGTTCAACATCATTTGCCACTACAGAAAGGCAAATCAAAATCACAGTGAAATACCACTTCACACCCAGGAGGATGGCTAAAATCAAAAAGATTATTGTAACAAATGTAGGTGAGGACCTGGGAAAAATCGCAACCCTTCCACACTGCTGATAGGAATGTAAGACGGTGCGGCCACTTTGGAAAACAGTTCCTCAAAACGTTAAACATACAGTTGCCATAGACCAGTGCAGTTCCACTCCTAGGTACTACACCCAAGAGAAACGGAAGCCCATGTCCAAACAAACCCTTGCACACAAATGTTCACAGAAGCTTTATTCATCACAGCCAAAAAGCAAAAGCAATCCAAATGTCCGTCATCTGCTAAACGGATTGGCAATCTGTGGTCTATCCCTGCAATGGAATGTGACTCAGCCATAAAAAGGAACAGAGCACTGACACCTGCCACAATGTGGAACCCTTGAAAACAAGATGCTGCCTGAGAGAAGCCAGACACCGAAGGCCACAGGCTGTCAGAATCCGCAGTGTCCAGAACAGTCCAATCCTTAGAGCCAGAGCGCAGATGAAGAGGAGCCTGGGATGAGAAGCGGCCACAGGAGAGACTGCAGAGGGGCACAAAGGGTTCTTTTTGGGGTGATGGAAACGTTCTCAAATGGAGTTGTCATGAGGGTTGTGCACCTCTACACGTTTCCCAAAAAAATCACTGAAACAATGTCTTTTCCTTCCTTTTTACCTTTCCATGGAGGCTTCTCAATAAGACAGTAACACCACCCCCTCAGTATAATCATCTCAATCCTGACTTTGTCAGAAGGGGTCCATTTTTCCCTTCTCTAAACTACACCGATGGGACTAGACAAGAAAATACTCAATTTGAAAACAAGCTGCAACACAAAACACAATCTCAGTTTTCAAAGCCCGTCCCTCAAAAAGCTGTGGACGGAGAACCGCCGGTATTCTTCACATGCTCTCAGGTACCAGAACTTTTGTGCCCATGATCGGAAAGGACATACCCACCTGGTCACAGCAGCAGCGAACGTCGCAGGCCCCGGCTGTCAGATTACAAGGACAAGGACCAAGGGGCTGATACACCTGGTTGGGAATTACAGTCACATTCTCTGAAAAGTACAAACAACAGAGAAGTCCAGCTATGAAACACTCTGACAAAGCACTGCCACGTTTTTTGACACACAAAAGAAGGCTGAATCATTGTTTTACAAATCACCAGGACCAAATATGACACATTAAGGAATCCCTGAGCTACGCATAAACCCTATCTGAGGCCTGTTATCTACTACACCCACAAAAACCCAAATATAGGAAAATACGCTAGTTATAATAAACTGAAAGTCACGGTTGATCTTAAAGATAATCAAGTGACTAAAACTGATAAGTTGGGATAAATGTAATGCACTGATTTTATTTTTCAATATGCTGAACAATCCCTTTCATAACACGGCTGACATTAAGCACTGACTCCTTCAAATTCATTACCTCCTCCAGCAGATAAAACCGAAACTACGGTGACATTTCAGACAGCTTATCTGGGGCCTATGGCCACAAGATTATATCTAATCACGCTACCTGCTCAACCTCATATCCTATCCCACTACAGACCCGACTCTTCACGTCCTGATTCTGGTTCAAGTGTGAAAGTGTGGAGGAAATTAATAATTTTTACATGGATTGGAAAAGGAATATGTTATATTCCATTTCAACCTCCTAACTCAGAATCCAGAGAGTAATGTTTCCAGTTTCTCTGCAATAATTTATTGGGTAAAATTTTCAGTCTGCTGAATTTTACTTTTTTTTTTTTTTTTTAAGTAGGCTTCACACCTAGCGTGGAGCCCAATGCAGGGCTCAAACTCATGACTGTGAGATCAAGACCTGAGCCAAGATCAAGAGTCAGATGCTTAGCCAACTGAGCCACCCAAGCGCCCCCTGAATTTTACTTTTGCCCTAGGATTTGGTACATGTTGAAAAACTATGTAGCGATTCTTTCTTTCTTTTTTTTTTTTTTAAGATTTTATTTATTTGACAGAGAGAGAGACAGCCAGAGAGGGAACACAAGCAGGGGGAGTGGGAGAGGGAGAAGCAGGCTTCCCAAAGAGCAGGGAGCCCAACACAGGGCTCGATCCCAGGACCCTGGGATCATGACCTGAGCCAAAGGCAGACGCTTAACGACTCAGCCACCCAGGCGCCCCTGCAGCGATTCTTTCTTTAAACTCTACGTTAACAGTTAACTTCAATGACATTGACAGTTGAAGTTCTCTAAAGAACCTCTAACTACATAGTCTATGCTATAGTATAGTAGAACCCCAGTATGTCAATGGCATCGGGAATGAGGAGAAGGTCTGAATAACAGACTATGTTACCAGGCAAGGCTCTGACCATCAGCACAATCAAACCCATGGGATGGAAGCAAGGCATTTTAGAATTGGGTTTTACTATATGATCTATAGATAGATGTTTGTGTATCTATCTATGTCTCCTCAGCCACTTGCTAGCTTCATTGTTACTAGGCATACCATGTACCTCCTGTCTGTCCCTCTATCCTTTTTCTTGTTCTGAGCTCTGTCTGACTGGGTGCAAAACGTTTCATACCTTCATGGGGTCAGAGCAGACATCTCATAATTACCAGTATACAAATACTCTAATTTTCCTAAGTTTGGCTATTTGTACAAAGACATTTTGAAATATTACCTAAATGTAGTGAATATTTTTTAAAAGAAATTTTATTTATTACCTAAATGTAGTCAAAACAATATTTTTTAAAAGAAAAAAAGCCACCACTTTGAATGGTAGAGCTACCATTAATCCCTCCCATACTTTTTTTTAAGCACCCACTGGATATTATTTTGTTGGTTTGTTTTGAATTTTAAACATTAGAGATTGTGGGACGCCTGGGTGGCTCAGTTGGTTAAGCGACTGCCTTCGGCTCAGGTCATGATCCTGGAGTCCCGGGATCGAGTCCCGCATCGGGCTCCCTGCTCAGCAGGGAGTCTGTTTCTCCCTCTGACCCTCTTCCCTCTCGTGCTCTCTCTCATTCTCTCTCTCAAATAAATAAATAAAATCTTTAAAAATAAATAAAAAATAAATAAACATTAGAGATTGTTTTTTCTTCTAAAAACAAAACTTTAAACCTTTAAATAGGTCACAGATTCACGTGTTCAAAGAACTCGAGGATCTAAAAAAAGGTACACGGTGAAGTCCTCACAGCCGGTCCCTTCCTGTTCCCACATCACTCTCCCAAATGGTCTCACGTGGTTAGCATCTCGATAGCCTTCCAGAACTTCTTTATGCAAATATAAATATATATTCTCACTCTAGGCTGTAGGCACCCATCTGCATCTGCTTTCCACAGCTGGCGATTTATCTTGGAGACCCTTCCATGCCCGCACGCTGAGGGCAGGGTGGCCCGCTGAATGGCGCCATCTTAACTTACCCTATCCTCCTCCACTTCCGGAATCACACGGAGGACCACGGGGAGGGCATGTGATGAGGGAACTGACCATGTAGGAGTCTCAAAATGGCAGACCTTTGCTACTAAGGAAGAAGGTGTCTCCCTTCATCCCAGATGACCGGAAAGGCAAGAGATATTGGAGTTGGTTGCAGGAGACAGGGGGCATGGCGGTGGCACCCCTCAGAGCGGACCCCTCACCACCGGCACACCTATGTTCTCTTGTTCTGAGAACACTGCCACGGGAAAGGGAGAATAATACCACTTTCAAGTCTACACACACACGTGCGCAGTGATGCCTGCTACAGTGCTGGTTACACATCACGAGCCGGAAGTGCCTTCAATTCCAGCAGGAAGAGGCCAGTCAGATACACAAGGGTTCTCCACACGATGGAACACCATGCAGCTATTAGAAAGAACGAGGTGAACCGACATTTATATGGAATTTATTTTAAAAGGTATAGAATAGTAAATAGTGTGTTGTGTGTTGTGTGTGTGTGTGTTGTTTTTAAACAAGAGAACACCACACTCTTCCATAAATTAAGAAGCTGCGTCTGGAAAGGCAGCTGGTGGCAAAAGCTTTCACTGAAAATCTATTGTTGTGGGTTTTTTTGTTTGTCTTGTAAACTCCTTCATTAATCTTTCCCTTGCTTTTTTTGTTTTTGGTTTTGTTTCAAGATGGGGTCACAAGAATCAACACACAGAAACAAACTTCACTTTCTCCCTTGAAGGCAGTCTACAAGGATACAAACACTAGAGTAAAATAAGACATCTTAATTAAGTAAAATAGGACAAAGTGAAAATTTCTTAAAATAAGAAAATCAAACAAAAGGGAAGTATGTTTAGAAAGGCAAGACTGACTCAAGAGCAGAGCTCACAGATCACGTGACATATGCTTTGCGTCCAACAGATAATGTTTGACATGAATGTTTTTACCATCAAAGACTTTACTTGCCTGATGCATTATGGGCCAAAGAAGAGTTGGCATAAATTTCCACTCGAATGAGTAGATGGGCTAAACAGGATGAATTGCGAGATGCTGAAACCAGAAGAGTCTGGACCATACACGGGGACTCTGAGAAGGAATCCATCTCATTAGAGGAACACCTTTGCCGACCCCTCTTCAACCTCACTGTCACATCCAACGCATTCTGAAAGGAAAATATGCTGTCCCTTTCAAAGTGACTCAACACAGCGTGAATCATTTTAAGAACACATAATGGAAAGCACAATAAAATCACACGTCAGCCTCAGTTCACTTTACAAAAGGAGAACCGTATACAAAGATGACATCGTTCTGTTCAATCCCACCCTGTTGCAAGCCCTGATTCCTTATCTTCAGTTTAACAGAAAAGCAAGCCACTTTTGGATAGAGAAGACTAAACACAGGTCTGTCTGATAAATTAACTCAGTGTGTCCACGTCTTTTTAGTTTCTTTATCATCCTACCAGCATATCAGCAGAAATTAAATACACACACAAAAAGTCAATGAAAACAGTCCCCAGTTCCTGGGATGCACGTAAAGTCTGCCTTTCTCAGCCTTTATCTCCAGAGTTGATGTCTTGCACATACTAGGCACTCCATAAAACATTTATCAAATGGAAGATATTTCATTTCTCCCGGCTTGAGTAACCTTACACGTAAGCTCAGAGCAGGGTGAGGTCAGTGGTTCATGAAGATTTTTGAGTCACAGATCCATCTGATAATCTGATGGAAGCTGCCAACCCTCTCATCAGAAAAATGCACATATAATGTTACAGACAATTTCAGAAGGTTCACAAACTTCTTGAAACTCGTCCAAGGACCCCCGACCCTAGCGTCAGCACCTCTGGGCTGAGTGGGTGCCTACTACATCTGATAACCCACAGTTTCATGGTAGTTCCAAGCCCAGAGAAAACTGTATCATGTCCAACCACGAGAGCACTGCAGAAACACTAACTGTGGGTCTCCACAGGTGCTACCAAGAACATTTTTACCTCTGGCCTGATCACGGTGGGGGTCACAGTCAAGCTCCAGTCTTCTGTCTCATTGGTCAGCACTCCACAAGCTGGAACCGGCAATAATCCTTTAGGAGAGAAGATTAGGATGCAAGGCAGCATTGCTCAGCAGCTAAGGGTGTGCACAATGGAATCAGGCTCCCTAGGAGGGAATCCTTTTCCACGCCGAGGACTGGGCCCATCACAAGCTGTGCAACTTCGGACAAGTGACGACCTCTCTGAACTGTAGTGTCTGCATTTGTTAAATGGCATGAAAGGATATTACTGTTCTTACTAGGAAAATGTGGGGATGCATATAAAGCACAGGGGACAGATAGCTCAGTGAATGCTAGCCATTATTGTCCCAAGCTTTCTTTCCCTGAGCCTGTCCGTTGGTCCTCTTTGGTCCACAGCAGCCCCCTATCCCTGCTCCCATGGCGACTTTGCACGGGACGGCGGCCGGGCACCCCGGGGATGCCACGTCCTGCGATGCCACCTCGCCGGCTCCTTGGGCGCCCTGGCCCTGCGCCCCCCAAAACGCCACCCCCACAGGAAGGGCCCGACGTCTTACCTTCCTTGTCCTGCAGCAGGGCCAGGGACACGGTCACATCCTCGGTGCCTCCGACCAGGGACGCACTGACCGCGGGGCCGGTCATGTGGATGAAAGCAGGAATGAAAACTAGGCGGGAAGGAAGGGGAAGGGCGGACTTACTAGTTGCAAGGACTCCGGGAGGAGTCCCAAGTCTGGCCCCTTAAACGCCTCGTCCCCAACCCCCACTCACCCCCACCCCCGGCCTGCAGGCCCCTGTCCTGCGGTACACACCCAGGTCGCCCCACAGCGGCCTCAGGACGCCCTGCAGAAGGAGGAGCCCCAAGAGCAGAGGGGAGGGCGGCGGCAAGCCCATGCCTGAAGCCTGGCGGGGCTCGCTTCACAGAACCCCGCCCGCCTTAGAAGCCGGGAAGCAGGGGACCCGAAGACCCGGCCCGCACCGCCCCGCCGCCGCCATCTTGTCAAGCCAACCGGAGCTATGGCAACCGCCAATCGGCCGCGGGTCTGAAGAGCGGCGGACGGTGATTGGTGACAACAGGAGCGAGCCCGCCCCCGGCCCGGGACCCAGCAACCCGGCCCCGCCCACAGGCCCTGGGCTCTTGAATCCCGACCCAAGGGATCAGGAAAAAGTAAGAGTCTGTGTCCAGTTTAAAGAGCTCCCCCAGCCCAGACTTAATTCAGTCACACAGCATGAGCGAGCCTACAGGCACTGGCTTCTTAAACACGCTCCTTAATAAACTTGATTTTTATGGGGACTTTGGGAGAAAGACAAAAAGGGGGTGAGGCTGCAGTGCTGTAATTGTGTAGCGCTGCTGAATTGTTATCCTTCTCCCAGTTTTTTGAAGTTTTGTGTTGTTTTTACCGCACAGAGCTGTAAGCACTACGAAAGCAGATCTTATCAAAAAATACAAAACGTTTTGCCCAGCATTAGGACAGATGCCAAAGTATCTGAATTCTTACGTCAATAGCTTCAAAGCATTCCCCGCCTTATTACAGTTCCGTGACTAGGCGTGCAGGCTCTGAGGTCGCTGTGGGATTTCTCCCTCCTTCCGCGGTTAAGTGACCTGGGGCAGCTCACCTAGCCTCTCCAAACTTGAGTTTCCTCATCCATAGAAGGGAGAGATTAGTCCCTCCCCGATAGGATTGTGTGAGAATTAAATGAACTAACATACTAATGAGTCTAGACCAATGCCTGGCATATAGTAGGCACTCAATAAATGTTCACTCATCGTTAGCTCTCAGAGGGATGGTATGCCGGTTAGCTGAGAGGATCCATGTCTGCACGATACCTGATAACAGCAAATGCCAAATAAATGTTTGCCGTATTAGTTGATCAGCAAACCTAACATTCTGAAAGCAATATGAAAGCTGAGGTTCTACAAATGCCCTGCACTGAGCTTTGCTTTGTTCTTACACTCTTGCAAAATCGTGGGATTTGTGCAGCGTACTACTGGCAGGAAATCCCGGCCACCACCCCGCGTGTCAGCTCTAGGAGAACTGCAGTGTTTATATCTCTTGCTATCTGGGACTAAAGCCTAGGAGAACCTTACGAGCAGGAAGGTTGTCAGACACATTGCTGTTATTTACTATTCCTTAACAAGAGAGTAATAAGCGTTTTCATTGAGGAAAATCGTTGTCTTGAATTACTTGTAATCCCTGGGTCAAAATGCTTTTACATCGAGGGGAAACATGAGAAAGTAATTTAGGCAAACACAAATGTTCGTGGGGGTGTTTTAAATACACTACAGATCTTGGGGCGCCTGGGTGGCTCAGTTGTTAAGCGTCTCCCTTCAGTTCAGGTCATGAGGATCAAGCCCTGCGTCGGCCTCCCTGCTCAGCGGGAAGCCTGCTTCTCCCTCTCCCACTCCCCCTGCTTGTGTTCCCTCTCTCGCTGTCTCTCCCTGTCAAATAAATAAATAAAATCTTTAAATAAATAAATAAACAAACTACAGATCTTTATCCTCACTGAGTTCTACTTTGCTAGACCTTAACATTATTGCCATGTTGTCACATACTGTAGGTAGGCATCGTTAGTACCATAGTTACCTGTATTGGCAAATATCACTCATCAGACACTCAAAATAAGAACATTTTTGTTTTAGGTCAGTTGAAGACCGTCCTTTCCTTACCAAACAACAGATAAATCTGTCAATTCTTCCAGCTGCGACATCCTGCTACAGTAAAGAAATGCACCGGGGGCACCTGGGTGGCTCAGTCGGTTGAGTCCAGCTCTTGTTTTCGGCCCAGGTCATGATCTTGGGGTCATGCATGGGATGAAGCCCTGCGCCAGTCTCCTCCCTCAACAAGGAGTATGCTTGAGATTCTCTCTCCCTCTGCCCCTCCCCCTGCTCTAAAATAAATAAATAAATCTAAAAAAAGAAAGAGAAAGGAAGAAATGCACCAGATAGTAATTCACAGGGATTCTCTAACCCTCCCAATTCTGGGTGGGTGGTGGAGGAATGATTAAAGCGGATTTTCTTTTTCTCCCCAAGTTTTGTTTTTTTTTTTTATTTGACAGAGAGAGACACAGTGAGAGAGGGAACACAAGCAGGGGGAGTGTGAGAGGGAGAAGCAGGCTTCCCGTGGAGCAGGGAGCCCGATGCGGGGCTCAATCCCAGGACCCTGGGATCATGACCTGAACCAAAGGCAGACGCTTAACAACTGAGCCACCCAGGCGCCCCTTCCCCCCTAGTTTTATGTACTTTCTTTTCTTTAAAAAGCATACAATTGTTTTCTGTTCTAATCAGAAAAAATAGTACTTATTAAAAGTATGTTTTTATTTTCTGCTTTTGGTTGCATTAAGCTATTTAGCCAGTAGTGGAATGAACTGCGGAATTCTAGGGCATTACAGTTAAAAAGGGGGGGGAGGGGCTTCAAAAGTAAAAAAAAAAAATGTCATTTGTGAGGTACAATGACATTATTAAAGATTAATTAGAAAACTTTTCTTAAAATGATTTGTAATCAATTCTATTAATATAAAATGTAGGCATAAAATGTAATTCAACTATTAATGAAAAGCCCTGATTTTTAAATACTGTACTTCTCATATAAAAATGTCATTGGTATATTTACTCTCTTCTCCATTACTGCTGGAAGCATTCCATGCACTCTTCCAGGAATTACTAGCAGCCTTACAAATCATGTTTGGATTATTTGAAAAACAAAGTAACTTTTTTTTTTTTTAAGATTTTATCCATTCACTTGAAGAGACAGCAGAGAGAGGGAACACAAGCAGAGGGAGTTGGAGAGGGAGAAGCAGGCTCCCCCCGAGCAGAGAGCCCGATGCAGGGCTCGATCCCAGAACCCTGGGATCATGACCTGAGCCGAAGGCAGACGCCTAACGACTGAGCCACCCAGGCGCCCCCAAAATAACTTTTTTTAAAAAAGCAAGGGAGCAGGAATCTTTTTGTGGGCTTACCTACAGAAGGTAGCCCAAGGGACTGCCTTTAGAAAGCAGATTGGATAGTCACAGCTATCTATTTATAAGAGAATAATTTCATGGTTTTAAAATTAACTCTTATGAGATAATAAATGTCCTACTTTTATGACATCAAAACATACATTATACTAGCTTGCTTTAACCAATGAAAATACCAAATATTTAAAATTTTGCTAACCTTGCTCCCAATATAAAATTACAAGCAAACATCAACTCTTTCTTCTAACAGTTTCATACTTAGAAACTTTGTATTAAATACTTCATACCAATCTATTATTATGCAGTATTTGTAACAATATTTTCATATATAGTTTTAGCAAGATTTTAAATTAAAGTTCTTCAGGGGCACCTGGCTGGCTCATTGAGTACAGCATGTGACTCTTGATCTTGGGATTGTGAGTTCAAGCCCCACACTGGGCATAAAGCTTACTTAATAAAATAAAAGTTCTCCAGAGCTGAATAAAAAATTAACATTTGACCAAATCCAGTTAAAGTACAAACTTGAAGGTAAGCTGAATTAGCATGAAATAAACATAAGCAAATGTGAAAATTTAAATTATTTTATTATAAAAATGTATATAAACCATAAACACAACAGTTAAAAATAAAACCTAAACAGAATTAAGCCAGTACACAAAACATCTCAAACAAAAAAGTAGTAAGAAGAACCTGATCAGCTTCTTTGAAATTCTTCATCTTTTATATATCTGATGACTTTCTAGACTTAAAACAGTGATTTCCATTATACTTAGGCTGTGAAATATTAAATATTATTTCTAAAAGACAAATAAGATTCTCAAACTCAAGGATTAACAAATATTTGCCAAGTGATAACCAAAACCTGTGTGAATTTAACAAAATTATAAATCCAAAGTACAAAATCTACCTGAAATCATCTAGCCAAACACCAAATTACTTAAATGAGACTCAGCTTCTGAGATGGTAGAAAGAGAAAATTAAAATCTTACTTACATACAAAGTTGTGTACACAAATGGGTTTTTGTCAATATACGTTTAAAAACAAACCAAACCAGTCACCATTCCTGAAAACTCTTCCTACACTGTGATGGAATTTGAAAAGACTTCTAATAACCTCAAGGTTACACAGAAAAATAAGTTTTTTCTTGTTGAAACTACAAATAATTTTTCTTTTGAACCTATCGCACTTGTTCTAGAGAACAGTTCTCCAACATTAATGCTTTTTTTCCTCATTACAAAAGGAAAGAATTCTATCTGGGGGACAGTACTAAACCGTAAAGAATCCATTCTCCACCAAGAAATTCCCCCTCCAAACCCAGACACCGGCTTTCACACATAAGCTCTTCACACAACTATCTCTGAAAAGAAAGTCGTTGCCAGGGTACCACACCCTCTCTCCTCACTCACTTAAGATCAGACTTTGTACTTATGCAGCGACAAACAGTTATTATGTGGATGACTATGTCCAAACGCGTAGTGATGGCAGACAAAAGCAAAACTATCTGCTAGTATCTGAAGCTAAACCTCAACTTAGACAATGATTATATTTACAGGACTATCGTCAAAGTCAGCTGTTGATTCAAGGAAGATGGTCTATGTGGATTAATGCCATTACTGCGTGGTTGCTTTTTCCAGAACTGTCCTCAAATTTCACCGGTTGTACATTTCACAGGCAGAACCCAGACTCGGCTACAGTCAAAAGCCTACGATCAGTCAGGCTAGACTGACTGGCAAAGTGATCATCTCATTAAAAAAAAAAAAAAAAGAAAGAAAGAAAAAAGTCACTAATTTGTGCTTTCTTCTCCCTCTGTGGACAAAAACCAGTCAGAAAAGATTGCACAGAATGACCCCCTCAAATAAAGCAGTCCCCCAAAAGCACAGCATGAGGATAATGGTCTAGAAATCTTTCCTGTAAGAAACTTGATTCAAAATTATCCCACACGCACTGTATTTTTCTCAGGGCCTCCTAAAATTCCACCATACAATTTCTATTAATAGGCTCTAAAAGACTGGGGGGATCGTATGATCACACGGACACTTTCAGTTTCTTTTTCTTGGCCTTCAGCACAGGAGGCAGAGAAATCTTAAAGGCTGTCCTGTAACGAGACAGAGAGGAAGACCCTCTTAGGAGCTCTGAATCTCTCCCGCGGGAGCCAGCCACACCAGCTCAGGGATACTTACTCGCACGTCGTACAGATAGGACTGAAATTGCAGAATACTGTAAATGTGAAAAACAAAACAAACAGGATGTTGAAAAAAACCACCCAGTTGACTTATTTTCTGCCACCCCCGCCCCCAACACAGAAAACTCTGTACTTGAACTTACTTGACAAGCACACAGAACAGACATAGCCAATTTCAATGAGATTTCGATGGCAGAAACAAGCTGCCCGGTAGTCCACATGAACGGGGGGTGGGAGGATTAACTGAGATCTTTGATCTTGATCAGGAAGAAAAACCCACTAAAAAAAAAAAAAAGAGAGAGAGAGGCAAGGAAATTTTATTTAAAACATGGGGAAAAATAATCAGAAGTTACAACACAGGTATCAGATACTAGCCAGTGAACGCTAAGGTAAATAATAAATTGGGATTTTCCTTAGGAGTCCATCAAGAATTGCGTTATTCATTCCGCAGTTATGGAGCACCTCCCCAAGCAGCCGCTGTCGTGCGAACACTCCTACAACAGTCTGTATGCAGCTGCCTTCGAGGACGACCCGAAGTGTCCACTTCTAGCACCCATCTACTTCCTCTCCCACTTACTAGCATCAGCCATTGTGCTCCCCTTCATTCCCCAGGAGAGAGGGGCTCACCCAGACGCAAGGTGTTAGGTTCCTTACCAGTAAATACTGCAGAAGGGACGGCATCTGAGGCACCTTCAAGTACAGTCCCCCCGTGATGTCACAAGCCTGCAAGACACCCAAAGGGCTCTCTGCCAAACCGGCCCTCGCTTAGCTTTTCCAGAGAGATGTAATTCTCACCAGCACTGCTTTGGGTCTCCAAAGGAGAGGGGGATATGACGATGCCAATCAAAAGGGCATGGTTTCCCAAGGGTGCGTGAGGACCAGAAACTTCCTGCTGCCTCTCAAGGTGTTCAACTATTTTTCCCACAGGCAGCACACTCTTGCACCCTTTGAAGACCTTAGCGGAGCACAGTACATGCCCTTTCTCCTCTGTGTTTGCTACTGATGAAATTTTTATTCCGGCCGCATTTATTCAGTTTCATTATATTTTTAACAACAGCCTTGAGATCATTCTCAGGCCATAAAATTCACCCTTTAAAGTGTGGGCTTCACTACTTTTTACTGTCTTCAGAGTGGTGCAACTGTCACCACTATCTAGTTCCAGAACATTTCCTCACCCCAAAAAGAAACCCCATACCCATTAGCAGTTATTCCCAACCCCCTACCCCTAGGCTACCAGTGACCCACTTTCTATCTCCATGGATTTGCCTATTCTGGACATTTCGGATAAATGGGCTCGTACAATTTTCCCTTAGCATCATGTTTTCAAGGTTTATCTACACTGTGGCAAGATCAGTACTTTATTCCTTTTTATGACCAAATAATATTCTATCATATGGTTATACCACAACTTATTTAACTCTGTTCATCCACTGATGGACACTTGGGTGCAAGTGGGGGGAAGACAGAGAGTCAATCAGTTAAGTAAATGCAGAAATAATGTCAGAGGTTATGATCACTTCTATGAAGACAAATGAAGTTGGGTAAGGGGACAGGGAGTGACACTGGATGGCCAGGGAAGGCTTCTCTGAGGAGGTGACACAGCAGCAGAGACCCAAATGAGGGCAGGGAGTAGACCAAGCAAATATCTGAGGAGAAGCCTTAGAAGCAGAGGGAACAGCAAACACAGACACCCTTAGGCGGTGGCGGGCCTATAGTTTTAAAGCAACAGCAAGGAGCCCAGTGTGGGTGGAGTAAAGAGGGAAGTTCCATGGGGACAAAGAGATACCCAGAAACCATATTGTGCAGGGGGTACAGACAGCCATGGCAGAACTCTGGGTTTTAGTCTATGTGTGAGGAGATGCCATGCGAGGGTTTTAAGTAGGTGAGTGACAAGATCTGATTTATATTTTGAAAGCTTCATTCTGTCTTGAGAACGGACTTTAGTGGGCAGCGTAAGCATAGAAATAGAGACCAGTTAACAGACACTATAATCCTCCACTTGAGGGGTGGCAACGAAGGAGAAGACATACGGTGGGATTCAGGGACTATTTCAAAGATCAAGTCAAAAGGATTGGCTAATGGGTTGGAAAGGGAGGAAGAGAAGAAACAAGGCAGAGTCAGGATTTTGGCTTGGATTTTTGGCTGATGAACTGAGCTGCCACTTGCTGCGATGGGGAGGCCCCTGGGAGGCAGCATGGAAAAAATCAGTTCTGCTTCAGACAAGTTAAAGTGGAGATGCTGCTGGATGCCCAAGGGGAGACGCTGCCTGAGCAGCTGACTATGCAAGTCTGGAACACAGAGAGCCTGCGTCTGGCCCAGAAATAGCAATGTGAGGGTCGGGGAGGCAGAGCATTTAAACTCAGGGTATAGCCAAGATCTTCTAGGAGTTAGCAGACACTGTGTAGAGTGAAATGTGCAGTTAAAAAATGTATTCAACCTTTTCGATTTTTTAATTCTGAATAACCATACGTGCAAGAGTATATATACGTAACATGTAAGTGTGGTTTAAATAAAATGAACGCCGTGTATCTACCATCAAGCTTAAGAAATAGGACAATTTGGAACCTCTGACATTAGTATACTTTCTAATCATATCTCCCCTTCCCACTCTGTGTCCTCAGCAGTATCCTAAACTCAGCATTTCCCAGTTTTGTGCTTTTAACTCATCTTTTAGCAAAGAATATTTCTTGTGGTCGAAAAAAACATTTATCAAAAGTTCAGCAATTTCTTCAGTCTTATTTGTTTCTTCTTTCCCCTTTCTGGTTACCTTAGATTGCAGTTTCATATATTTGACTGAAAAGCAACATCTAACAGTGCTGTCCAAGAGAAATAAAATATGGGCAACATGTGAAACTTAATTTTTCTAGCCACATAAAAAAAGGAAAAAAGAAGATAAAATTAATTTTAATAACATTTTATTTAACTCAGTATATCCAAAGTGTTACCAGCTTAATATGTAATCAATATAAAAATCTTTATTTTACATTCTGTTCTTCATATTAAGTCTTTGAAATTCAGCGTGTGTTTTACACTTAACAGTACACCTCAATTCACCAGACTCATTTCAAGAGCTCAACGGCCATATAACTATCATATAGGACAGCACAGATCTGGGGTACGATCCTAGCTTTATAAAATTCTCTGCTTAGCGATCCATTCTTCCATCTATACCTATAGAGATCTGTTATGCTCTTTACCTAATATTAGCAATGGTAATTTTAAGATGATAGGATCTAAAGGGATTTTTTACCCCTTTAAAAAATACTTTCCTGTGTTGCTTGAATTCATTTCAATATGTGACTCACTTTTACAGAATCAATCATTATGTAAAACGTAAATAAAAATTCTGAAGGAACCAGAGAGTTGTACACCTGAAACTAATGTGACATTGTGTGTCAACTTACTTCAGTAAAAAAATAAGGACCAGAGAGATGTTAGTGCTCTAAGCAACAGCATCACACAGGCTAATTCCTAAAAATGTGTGAAGGTTGGTGACAGACATTTAACAATAAAGAGAACACACCATGCTCCCCTGACCACCAACACCACACTTCCACTAAACACGTACCTGTTGGAGGAGTCCTGAATCCGAGTCTAAAACACAGGCATCGATCAAAATATTCTGAAATGAACATTCCAAAAACATTATAGGAATAATAAAAATACTGACTTACACTGGGAACCTACTATGTGCTATTTTTTTTTAGACTATTCTTAAAACAGCTTATTTGATATGCAGAGTAACTCTGCTGTCACCCCCAGTCTGTCTGTCCCCAAAGCCCATGGTCTTTTCACTACATCATGCTGCTGCTCCAACACAGAATATTAGGCATGAATATGGTAGCATTTTGGGTTAAAACTTACGTGTTTTTTTTATTAAAGATTTTTATTTATTTATTCATAAGAGACAGAGAGAGAGAGAAAGAGAGGCAGAGGGAGAAGCAGGCTCCCCGCTGAGCAGGGAGCCCAACGCAAGACTCGGTCCCAGGACCCTGGGATCGTGACCTGAGCCAAAGGCAGACGCTTAACCATCTGAGCCAACCAGGCGCCCCAAAACTTAAGTTTTAAGAAAGTTTATTTTTTAAACATATCAAAGAAAATGTATTAGTGATAATTCATTTGAATTAGTGTAAATTCATTCAATTATCTGCAAAATAAAAAATATCAATTCTTGGTAAGACCTCCCTAAAGCAAAGAGATAGAGGAATTGAGGCAAGGCACACAGCAAAACTGTAAACTAGGGATTCTTAGCCTGAGGTCCAAGGATGTGCTAAACGGGGTTACACGAATACCATGAAACCATAGGCAAAACTGTGTTTCAGTGTACCTTTTTCTGGGGACCCATAAGATTCATGGGGTCCAGGACCCAAAATTGAGAAATGATTAGTATAAAATATGAATTCCAGATTCTTCATCCACTGATAAGGCCATTTAGTCAAAATATCTCTGTATGTAGGTCATTCAAAAAATAAAATTCATTATGAAACAAATATTTTCTAAAAGAAGGCTCCCAAGGGGGGGGGGGAAGAGAGAGAAAGAGGCAACCCGAGAAACAAGCTCTTAACTATAGAGAACACACTGATGGTCACCAGAGGGGAGGGGGTGGGGGAAACAGGTGATGGGGACTAAGGAGCACACGTGTCATGATGAGCACCAGGTGATGCATGGGAGCGTTGAATCACGATATTGCACACCTGACACTAATATAACACTGTATGTTAACTGTGCTGGAATTTAAATTAAAACAAAAAAAAAAGGGCGAAGGGCGCCTGGGTGGCTCAGTTGGTTAAGCGACTGCCTTCAGCTCGGGTCATGATCCTGGAGTCCCACATCGGGCTCCTTGCTCAGCAGAAAGTCTGCTTCTCCCTCTGACCCTCCCCCCTCTCGTGCTCTCTCTCTCTCATTCTTTCTCTCAAATAAATATTAAAAAAAAAAACTAAAAAAAAAAAAGGGATGCTCCCAATTCACCTGCTTCTGTGCTGCAAAGATGACATTCATGAAGTTCATATACTGCAGCGCGCTGTCTTCTGCAGCCTTAATCACCTAAAAATCATATCCGCATGAACACCTTGCAGGCACACCCGAGTTCTCAGTGCAAACACGACCAACGCAGCTTTTCTAATCTGCCTGCCCAGTTACCATTCTTAAATAATACGTACAGCGTACAGATGACTGCAAGAACCTCCCCAGTCCTATCCTCCAAGAGATAGTCCCTGTTAATAGTTCCAGACAGCACCTAGGTGGGTGCATGCACGCATGCACACACACGCACACACACCCGCGCACACAGACACAACCCGGGATGATTATCTAGTGCTCTGCAAACCTGTTGTTTTTTTTTTTTTTTTTAAGTAAACTCTGCACCCAACATGGGGCTCAAATTCACAACCCTGAGATCAAGAGTCACACGCTCTACCCACACTGAGCCAGCCAGGCACTGCTGCACCTTGCTTTTTGGTTCCACAGTATCTGGGGGAGTGGGGAATCTTGTATCAATGAATTTGGATGTATATCATCCTTTGTGCTAACTTCATAGAGTCCACTGCTGAACCAATTATCTATAGAGGAAACTGAAGCAGCTTCCAATCCGGTTTTAGACAATGCTCTGGTGAACATTCTCATATACGCTTTACACAACTCTCTGACTAGCTCCTAAAATAATCAGGGAGATTGCTAAAGTATACCTCCTGATAGAGGTTACCAAACGTTCCTCCAAAAAAGTTGTACCAATTTACCCTCCCGTTGGCAATGCAAGAGAATAACCCATCCCCAACCCTGCCATCAACACTGGGAACTGCCCATTTGTGCTGAGCAAGAAGCAAACAATGAAAACCATGTTACTGGATGTTTCTATTTCTTTGCTTACCAGTAAGGCTGCATGTATTTTCAAATGCTAACTGGTTATTTGCATTTCTTCTTTTGCAGGCTGCTTATGTTTTCTACCTATTTCTTTAGAGTAAACCTTAACTTTTAAAACTTAATTGGTAAGGGCAGGGTGCCTGGGTGGCTCAGCTGGTTAAGTGTCCAACTCTTGATCTCAACTCAGGTCTTGATCTCAGGGTCATGAGTTCAAGCCCCGAGTTGGGCTCCACGGCCAGCATGGAGCCTACTTAAAAAAGTAAATGAGTAAGATAAAAAAATAAATAAAATTTAATTGATAAGAGCTCTTTTTCATTTTAAAACTACTAAATTAATCCTCTGTCGGGTAGCTATGCTGAAAATACTTTTCCTAATAGCTTCTCTTTCATCCTTGTTTTGGGGATTTGATTTTCTTGAGGTCTTAAGCTTCACATCATGCTCAGCAAGGTCCTCCCCAACCTGAGATTATAAACAGGTACTTTCTTTCAGCACTTCTATGACTTGAACTTTTCCAGTGACATGTCTGACCCTTACTAGAATTATTTAGGTGTGAGCAATGAGATCTAACTTTGTTTTCCCCCAGATGGCCAACCAATTGGCCCAGCACCTTTAACTGAGAATTCATTTTCTTCCCACTAACTTAAGTTCTTCCTTTCCACAAGTCAAACTCCTCTGTGGACCTGATTTTATTTCTGGATTCTAGTCTTCCCCGTTTACTCTGAGCCAACTACTGCCCCAGAACCACACTGTTACTGTAGTTTTGCAATGTGTTTTAAGGCCTAACAGCAAGTTCCTGCTTATTATTCTCTTTCAGAAAGCACCTGGCTATTCTCATTGATTTATTCTTCCAGATAAGCTATTGAAAAAAAAAATTTTTTTTAAGATTTTAAGTAATCTCCACACCCAACATGGGGCTCGAACTTTACTACCCCGAGATCAAGAGTCACACAGTCTACCAACTGAGCAAGCCAGGCGCCCCTTACTGTTGAATTTCTTAAAGCACTTGGCGTGGAGTCGGCTTCAGATTCCCTCTTCCTCTGTCCACCGCCCTCTCCCCTTCCCCCGCCCTGCCCCCGTGACATGCATGCTCTAAATAAATAAAATCTTTTAAAAAAAATTCTGAGATTGCATTGAATTTACAGTTTAACTTTGGAAAAACTGACATCTAAGAATAAAATATGGCCATTCTTTCAATTCTCTTATGTCTCTCAGAATTTGTTTTTCATCATAATCAATTTTACACATTGCTTGCTAATTTATTCTGGATACTCGTATTTATTATAAATGGGTCTTACTTCCCATTATGCTTTCTAATTGGTTATAGTTGGTATATAAACATAGTACTGATTTTTTTAATCTTACCAAAATCCTTGATTTCATTTCCTGATTATCTATAAAGAGATAAAGACAGATTACAATTTAACTGAATCTTATTAAACATATTACAAGGTTTTATTACCAGTATTTTCAAACAGTCCACCAAAATTATAGCAGTAAAATAAGGATTCCAGATCTTACAAAAAACCACAGACACCTACCTTTAACATCCTTGTTCATTCTATGAATGTCTGATTTTTTTAGCATTAAGGAATTTTAAAATATTATTTAATTTCATGAAGATTTATAGTAAACAGAAAAATAACCTCAAATTTTAAATAAATCCAGTATCCACCTAGCTGAAAAAAGAAATGCTCTATTTCCCATGATAAACACACAAGAGTAATTAGGGGTTTCCAATTACCAACTGCAATCAACTGAGCTTTGTAACCTGACCAAAACATGATCTCTGTCCCAGAAAATTAAAATTACCATGATTTATCCTTCTGTGATTATCCACCACATCCTAGCTTTGAATACTGGGATGACAAGTAAATCGATAAGCCAGATAACAAATGTGAAAACCACACACACATGACCCGGCACCCCCAAAGTCTAGGGCACAGGAATCACTCAATACTTTCCAAAACAAAGAAATTAAATTACACAAGACAGGGAGAATACAGGGGTGCCTGGGTGGCTCAGTCGGTTAAGCATCTGCCTCCAGCTCAGGTCATGATCTCAGGGTCCTGGGAATGAGTCCCACGTCAGGCTCTCTGTTCAGCAGGGAGTCTGCTTCTCCCTGTCTCTCTCTATGCTCTCTCTCAAGTAAATAAATAAAATCTTTTTTTTTTTTTAAAGACTGGGAGAACATCACACAGACAGACAACATCAACATGCTTAGGACAGTGTTGTTCACTCTATGCTAAGTGCAAATAACCTGTGGGCCTCTGGAGAAACCACTCATTTATTAACCCTCAGGATCACTAAATGGCTTTTATAAATACCAAACACACTGCTCCTAACTTAAGGAAGGTGGAAAAAACAAACACCCTCCCCAATTTGTCAAAGCAAGATACAAGCATCCTGAAGAATTTGTTGTGAGCAGAAGGACATACTGGAGAAACAAGAGTTTTCTTTACATTTCTAATTTTTACAGCTTATCTTAAAAATATTCCAAAGCGG